TCTTTTCTACTTTCTTTACTCCTAACAGATATATAGGTCTAGGATTCCTAATTAGAATTTGAATGGTAAAATGTCTACTTTCTTTTTTCCTAACAGGTTTAAGGTCTTTAATATAAACAAGGGTCCATGGTCCATTGTAGACCTTATTAATTAATTAAGGAGATTCTAACTAAATTAAATCCTTTTTAACTATTCTTTAGCGGGATTAATTACATAATTAATCCAGGCTTGAAGATCGTAACACGGGATGTTACAGCTTCGTCCCATATAATCAATTTGCTCCTGATTATAAGATCAGCAAGGTCACAGCCTTACGATATTTTGCACATGGAATATCCATTCAAATAGAGCGATATAGCAAATTTGGAATGCGTCGTTCTACCTCCCAGCAAGAGTAAAGATGCTATTCCACTTGAAAAAACGTTCAGAACAATATTACCACGGGTCCTTATCTTTGCCGTTAACATTCTCCACAAGAACGTCTTGTCTGTTCCTCCGTAACCATACACAAAGAATAATCAACCTCCATTGAAATCTATATCATTTATCATAGAGTCATAGACATTCTTTTGCTCGTCGGTCAATTGTGTTACCAACGATTCATGCTCTGTCTTCAACGATTCCTTGTCATACGCCAGCTCTTCTCCTAACAACATGTTTTCAATCAAACACACGCTACTTTCGTCAGGAATTGGCATTTCTGGAAAGTCCCTCAGGCTCTTCCCCATTAAAGATAACAACTTCTCCAACTCCACAAGAGGGAACTGTTTCTTATCCGAATTCGATAACACTAACTCTTAAAAATTCCAAAAAAAAACAAGGAAATAAAAAATTAGTTTATTTAGAAATAATAATAATAAGCAAATAATAAAGTCGAATAAATAAATAGGAGCTCGATATACCTGGACGAATTATGCATGAGATGTTGACGTTGAAACCGTGCATCCTCGATAAGAAATTCCCAAACGGCATTCCACACCACCTCTGGCTCACTGATTAAACTTGAATTGATTAGCATAGCAAACAACCTTCGCAAATCATACGCAGTTGCCCAGTAATTAACTCGAGTCAGTAATGCCGTCAAGGTACTCCTTGTTAGTAATGCCGGAAATTGTAAAAGTTATTACAAATAATTTCAATGTGAGTTATATTACCATTCCTAGGCATATTAATAGGTGTTCTTGGAGAGCAAATCATAAATCTACCGTACAATGCTTCACTACGGACTACTGCAATTATTTATATCGATAGAGGAAAATTAAAAAATGCATTTTATTTTAGTAAAATAGTTAGGTAGGCTATTAAGATAACAAATTTGCTTACCATATATTCATTATGGGATTAACTGGACTAAATGTTGGTGAACCAACAACTGATTCTAACAACGAATGAGCATTATCGAACAACCTATTCGGTCGGAACAATAGTGCTTGTCTATTATTCTGACTAAATTATTATTATTATTATTATTATTATTATTATTATTATTATTAAATGACTAAACCCACAATTATTGTTATTATTGTTGTTGTTGTTGTTGTTGTTGTTGTTGTTGTTGTTATTATTATTATTATTATTATTATTATTATTATTACTAGTTTTTTACGCGCATTACGCGATTGGAATAGTGTCCAATTTTTTTAAAAAAAAAATAAGTACTTTAAAGTATATCAAGGCAAGATTATATTGGAATTGTTCATGCATAGATAATTGAATGTTGAATTTGCGTATTTAAATAGGTAATTCTAAGTTTACAAACGCAAGATAATATAGTCAAGATTGATTATAATTGTCAATAAAATAATTGTATAGGCATGGTTGAAACCAAATACGGGACATAAGGGAGAGCAAATAAAAATTAGGGCATAAAATATTAAATATATACTAATATTGAAGAGCTAAATGCTGATTGCCAAACAAGGACATTGCGATGTAGTTTCCCACTTCAATTTGTTGTGTGATTTGAATACTCTTTTGTCATTAAATCCCCAAGTAGTTAATATGATTGGCTTAATTATATTTTTTTATTTTTCTAAAACTATTATTATTATTATTATTATTATTATTATTATTATTATTATTATTATTATTATTATTATTATTATTATTATTGTTGTTGTTGTTGTTGTTGTTGTTGTTGTTGTTGTTGCTGTTGTTGTTGTTGTTGTTGTTATTGTTGTTGTTAATCTAAACATCTAATTTTTTCAAATATCTTTTTACCAACCGTTGATATATTTCGCTGGTCAAATTCGCTAATATAATCCGCTAACGCTAACCGATAACTGCTGATTGTCAAACAAGGACATTGAAAGATAATTCTCACTTCAATTTGTTGTGTGATTTGAATACTCTCTTTGTCAACAAATTCCTCAAGTAGTTAACATGATTGGCTTTATTAATTATATTTTTTAAATTTTTTTCATGGTATTAATAAAATACTTGGTAAATAAATATATAGCCTTATTTTGTATTATAACTTCGATATTTAATTAAAAAAATAGTGCACAAAAAAGATAATAGACAATGTAGAATATAATCAATTGATGAATTTGAATATAAAGAATTTTTACATTAGAGAAAAATAAAGACAATATAACTAATAAAATTATTTCTCTTAATTAATTTATTGATAATGAATATTTTTTTTTAATAAAGACATTGTAGGGACAATGTAGCGAATATAATCAATTGATGAATTTTTCTCTTATTTAATTTATTGATAATGAATAATTTTTTTTTTTTTGAATAAAGACATTGTAGACACATAATTCTAAATTAAAGAAATGCATATGTATTTTTTTTTGTAGCTACTAAATTATTATTTAATTTAATAAGAGTAAAATAGAGTACTAATTATGTCAACTTTGATTAGGATGGGGTTCGAACCTAAGACCTTTCTTATTGAAATCAATGAGTAAGTTAACAGTAAACTAACATGAATTAACGGAAAAGTTAACGGATAATGGTACCCGGGTTGGAATTTCATTTGGAAGGTTACGAGTTCAAGCCTTAGTGGAGGCGTTATTGGTTCTTTGTGTTTCAGTAGGTTGAGAAAGTATATGAACAGATACGACAATGTAATAGGGCCAGTAACATTCAAAAAAGGAAATCTTAAGAAAAAAAATTGATCAATCTGAGCCATTCATTTGATTAAAAAACTTGACCGTCATTTTTTCTACCCATTATAAGTCTAACTCTCTTGGGCTCTTATTAGTATAGTAGATAGTAGATTATTGAAGATTGTGGTTAGTAATTTTAATTTAGAATTGTATTACGAATAGGAAAGTATGAAAGAATATATTGTATTTGAAATTGTATTACCCTATTTTATTGTACAATTATAGAACGAATAGGAATTGTATTACCATATTTTACAATATTACGCAAACCTTAATAGTATAGAAATGTTTTGGACTGGAAATTAAAATAAAGGATTTTATTTTTATATATAGTATAGATAGATGTACTATTTAACACTTAATATAAAACAATATCATTTTGATCAAAACTCACCATAAAAGATGGACCTGATTGAGGATATAATTTGCCGAAATTAAGTAAGACAACCTGTGGTCAAATCGAAAAGAGGTGAAATAATTATTATGATGCAGCATGGACGGCATCTAAGAACTATAAAGTAGGCTAATTGAATGGCAACATAACCATCGCCATGGACCTTTCAACTACTTAATTGGACCTTCTTCCACAACTGTCATCACTTATATTAGCCATCAACAAATGCTACCTTGTGATATGATGCGTTCAACCACATCCAAGACGATTTTGTAAATGGATTCATTTGATAATTTAATATCACACGTTGTCAAAGTTTTTTTTTTTTTTTTTTTAATCTTAGATTTCCAACGCCTTCTCGATTGAGATTGTCATACAAAATCTTTCTAGTTCGGTTTACTTATTCTATATAGTTTGTAGGCTATTTTACATAAGTAAGGTTTATCTAGTGTACACTCTCAACTAGCTAGTGATTGTGTGTTTTGTTAGTCACCGGCAAAAAAAAAAAAAAAACAAACAAATAAACTTGAAAAAAATTAATTTTCTTATAAATTAAATTTAAACCGTACCAATAGTTTTAACTTTCAACCACACCCCCCAATCCTCAACGACCTTCCCACCCTCTCTCAATTTGAAAAGAAAAAAAAAAGTCAAAATAAAAAAACCAACTTGGTTTGCGTGAGTGGCTGTGTACTCTTGCCACTTAAGAGAGGTTGGGAGTTTGAACCCCTTCTGGTACGAAAAAGTCAATCTGGCCAGCTTTGCTTCTTAATTGGACTGGCCCGGTGTGAACGTGGATTAGTCTGAATATGGTACGGGTTTAAAGGATAATTACAAATATGATAGTGTCTACTCTTTTAATTCTTCTGTAATCATTTGGTCATAGATTGAACTTTGATTGTCCATTAAAAAGTATTTGTTTCACAAGGTATCAATTTTGAGATGGACTATCAAGTGGTTGTTCGTGTTTTGAAGGAAATATTTACCCTTCGGTGATATCTGAGTGTTATGTTGCCCTTAGGAGTTGTCAAGAATTAGTTAAATCTTTTCAATCTACTTCTTTTTTTCTTTTTTTTTTTTTTTGTAAGAAGGTCAGAAAACTTGATTGCTCATACATTAACTTCGTTACCTCATAGTCAACTGACCTCTAGTCTTTGGCAGATAATTCTCCCGAATAGTTTTTTTTTCATCTTATTCAGCAATAAATTATCAATTTGTAGGCCGCTTTCCAACCAAAAAAAATATTGTTTGCACGATTTTAGCTCAAAGATTTAATATACAATATTTGAGGCATTTGGGGTAGAATAATTGAATATATATATATATATTACAAGTGAAATTAACTGGAAAATAAAAATCACAGAAGAACCACCCCCTTCCTCTCAACCACATGTTGGTTTGACTGTAATTAATAAGACATAATAGCAGCTAGCCAGCAATGATCACCTACAACTCAAAATGCCTATCTTTCAATTCCCCTCTCTTTTTAAACCCCTCCTCTCAACACACAAAACTCACACACGTTAAAACCAACCCAACACCAAAAACTACCTATCACTCCGATCCAAACATGGGGGCTCGCCATCGCCATCTTCATTTCGAACCAATCTCAAAATGCAGCCCAGAGGGGCGGTCAAACCAAACCGTGGTGGCTGATTTAGACGGCACACTCTTGCTCTCCGCCACCGCATTCCCCTACTTCCTCCTCGTCGCCATGGAAGCCGGCAGCCTCCTCCGGGCACTCCTCCTCCTCGTCTCCGTCCCCTTCGTCTACTCCCTCCACCTCTTCGTGTCCGAGCCCTTAGCCATCAAAGCCTTCATCTTCGTCTCCTTCGCCGGGCTCAAGGTCAAGGACATCGAGACCGTGTCTCGGGCGGTGCTGCCCAGGTTCTACTCCGAGGATGTCCGCGCGGATGCCTGGAAGGTGTTCAGTTCATGCGGGAAGCGGTACGTATTCACCGCGAATCCTAGGATCATGGTGGAGCACTTCGCCGTGAACTTCTTGGGAGCCGATAAGGTGGTCGGGACGGAGCTGGAGGTTTCCAGAACGGGACGCGCCACCGGGTTTGTGAAACCTCCGGGGGTTCTTGTCGGGGAACATAAAAAGGCTGCGGTTTTGAAGGAGTTTGGGACGGATGTGCCGGATTTAGGCCTGGGTGATAGGGAGTCTGATCATCACTTCATGTCCATTTGCAAGGTAACATATATAATTCCACTCTTTAAATTTTACTAGCATTTATATATATTTGTTGGGCGAAGGCCAGTAAAGGACCAAATTCACCACCTGACTATATATATATATATTTGTTGGGCGAAGGCCAGTAAATGACCAAATTCACCACCTGACTATATATATATATTTGTTGGGCGAAGGTCCATAAAGGGTCAAATCCACCACCTGACTCTTGAAAATGTGTGTTGGTAAAAAATTCACTACCCGACTCTCGAAAATGTGTGTTGGTATAAGAAAATAAAGTTACGCTTTTGCTACAGCCTATACCTTTTGACATAGTGGTAAATGTTTGATCTTAACAATAAATAAATAAATAAATATATATATATATATATATATATATATATATATATATATATATATATATATATTATTTTGGGTTTTTAGAGTTCAATTCTTGCAAATCACATGCATGTTGGAAGATATATAGTATAGTTTTTTGGATAACCCTAGTCAAGTTGGTGGCGCAGTTGACTTGGCAATTACAAGGTTTCAAATTTAACTCAAAAAAAAAAAGTCTATTGACCTTTCAATTTGAACCAGTTAGTCACATAATACGCCTTTTAGATGAGCAAATCGGATATCATTGAACCACAAAGTCCTTGATAAAAGTGTACACTTTTTGATAATGATTGCGGTTTCACATAAATGAAAGGAAGATAGTTTACTTACATTCACATAAAACTGGAATACTAGCTAGAAAAGGGGATTTACTTCCCCACTTTGATAGGTCATATTTAGTTTGTCAGTAGATGAAGTTAAGTTACCAAACTATTTGTCAGTAACAAAATTGATCATTAAAAGCTGCCTCTTTGGTGTTACGGGTAAAAGTATGAGCAGAGCTGTCATTTTTTTATTTTTTTTTTTCTTTCGGCCTTTTGGTTATGATATCTGTTAAAAATAGTTTATTTTACTTATTTAAGTACAACTAACTTTATAAGTTTGTCTTTTTCATTTTACAAATTTACTATTTATTATTGAATTTAACTTTTTTAGGTGGCTGGAGCCCCAAATAACCAGTTTTCTAAGTGGACAAGATATAACATCTCATTTATTTTATTAAAAAGCATACCAAACATGACATAACTATCTCACAAAATAGGATGGAGGAGTAGGTGGAGTATTCTTTTTCTTTTTATGTAAACATGTTTTCGTTAAAATTTTAACGAATTTTATGGTATCATGAATGTTCTGTTGTTTTTGATAAAGTTATATTCTTGCAGCTAATTGTCATCAATCATGACAATTATTTATAATTTAAAATATAAAGATGTGTTATATAGTATCATACAATACTATATCATACTCAATCCAAGGGGAACTTCTCCTTTAAATCATTTTATTTATAGCATCATACAATACTGTACCATACTATATCATTTTATATATAGTATCATACAATACTGTACCCTACTATATATATTCATACTGGGCAAATTGCACACAATTTAGTCTGTGTGCATTCGTGTAGTAGTTTAGCTTGTGTGCATTTATGAAGGATTTCACAGAGGATATAGTCTCATTTGAATATTATTATATATATAATGAACCCCATTCTTTTCAATAATTATAAAATTGATCATGTGTTTTTTTAATTAAATTAAAACCTTCCAACATTGATGAACACTGAGTCACTGATATTAGTCAACACTTTTTATAAGAGACCAGTCCTTGTTCTCATTTGATCCATCGTTATGTTGTGGAACCGTGTCCACCTTGCAATGTGGACACTGTTCTATGTTCATAATTACTGAACTATATGTTCATAATTATAAAGCTATATATTCATAATTTTGAACTTCATATTCATACTTATTGAACTTTATATTTACAATTACAGAACTATATGTTCATAATTATAAAACTATATATTCATAATTTTGAACTTCATATTCATAATTATTGAACTCTATATTTACAATTACAGAACTATATGTTCATAATTATAAAGCTATATATTCATAATTTTGAACTTCATATTCATAATTATTGAACTCTATATTTACACTTACAGAACTATATGTTTATAATTACTGAATTATATGTTCATAATTATAAAACTATATATATATATATATATATATATATATATATATATATATATATATATATATATATTCATAATTTTTAAACTTCATACTCACAATTATTGAATTTTTATATTCATAATTACAAAATTATATGTTCATAATTATGTTCACAATTCTATGTTCATAATTATAGAACTATATGTTCATAGAACTATATAATTTTGTCTTTTTAATTTGTTGCAGGAAGGGTACATGGTCCCACGGAGCAAGTGCGATGCCTTACCAAGAAAACAGCTCCTGAGTCCTATCATTTTCCATGAAGGCCGTTTGGTACAAAGGCCTACACCATTTATGGCACTCTTAACTTTCCTATGGATGCCTATAGGCATAGTTCTGTCCCTAATAAGGGTCTACTTAAACATCCCCTTGCCGGAAAAAGTGGTCCGCTACACATACATGATCCTCGGCATCAAACTCATCGTGAAAGGCACCCCTCCGCCGCCCCCTAGGGCGGGCCAGCGCGGCGTCCTCTTCGTCTGCAACCACCGCACCGTCCTCGACCCCGTCGTCACCGCCGTCGCCCTCGGCCGGAAAATCAGCTGCGTCACCTACAGCATCAGCAAATTCTCGGAGCTAATTTCTCCGATCAAGGCCGTCGCGCTGTCCAGGGAGAGGGAGAAAGACGCCGCCCATATTAAGCAGTTACTGGAAGAAGGGGACTTAGTTATTTGCCCGGAAGGGACGACTTGCCGGGAACCATTTTTGTTGAGGTTTAGTGCCCTTTTCGCCGAGCTGACCGACAGGATTGTGCCGGTGGCCGTTAATACCAAGCAGAGCGTGTTTTATGGGACGACGGTACGAGGTTTCAAGGTGTTGGACCCGTACTTTGTCTTCATGAACCCTAGGCCGACATACGAGATCACGTTCTTGGACCAAATTCCGCCGGAGCTCACTTGCAGAGGTGGCAATAAGTCGGCGATTGAGGTTGCTAATTATATTCAAAAAGTTCTCGCCGGAACCCTAGGTTTCGAGGGTACTAATTTGACTAGGAAGGACAAGTATGCGATGATGGCCGGGACTGATGAGCGTGTTCACGCCATGGACAACAAGGATAAATAGAAGAATTGAGACAATATAATTCAATGAACTTTTTTTTTTTTTTTTGGTACTGTAATTTCTCATGTGCTTTTAATTAATACATTTATCTTCTTGAAAAAGAAATTATATATATAGGGCATAATCAAATGAGATCGAATTATATTTTTTCGTTCAAATTACTTTTAATTTGTGCAATTTGTAGTATCTAATTGTACATTTTTCAAGTTTGCAAGGGAGTAATGGATCTCATTTAATCATGTCTCTCTCTCTCTATATATATATATATATATTAAAATATCAGTTTTATGATACATACAAAATGCTATTCGCTTTTTTTATATTGTGTCTTGTTCTGCCACTGGTACAAAAAAGAACATAAGAGATGGACTTTTAGCTATCTTTCTTAAAAGAAGGTAATGTATTTTTAAAAGAGTTAATACCCAAAATCGTCCTCGACTATAGTGGTTTTTTTCAATTTCGTCCTAAACGACTTTGGTGACCTAATATCGTCCCAAACTTTTGTGTTTCGCTCAATTTAGTCCTCCATTTGTTATTCCGTCAAATTGGTGTTAAATAAAGGGACAATTCAGTAATGTCAATATTGATCTCTCTTTACTTTCAACTTGTGAAGTGCGAAATTCCTCTTTCTTGTACGAATTACACCCAGAATTACTCCCGAACCTGCAAATCAAATTTTATATTCGCAGTTTTAGGAGTAATTTTGGGAGTAATTCGTAAAAAAAAAAAAGGATTTCGCAGTTCACATGTCTATGACTAAAGAGATGCCAATATTAAAATTACTGAATTGTCTATTTATTTAACACCAAATGGACAGAATAACAAATTAAGGACTAAATTGAGCAAAAACACAAAAATCTGGGACTAAATTGAGCGAAACACAAAAGTCTGGGACGATATTAGGTCACCAAAGTCGTTTAGGATGAAATTGAGAAAAACCACTATAGTCGAGGACGATTTTGGGTATTAACTCATTCTTAAAATTGACTAACTCAACTTATTTTCAAATTTTTTATTTTTGTAATATTTAGTTTAATAATAATGAATAAAATTTATGTATTTAGATTGATATTAAAAATATCATTGAACACAAAAATTTCATTTTAAAATACTAAGAATTTTTTTTTTGTTCAAAAAGAAAGACAAAATAAGAGTGTTTCTGACAAATAATAATAATAATAATAATAATAATAATAATAATAATAATAATGATAATAATGATAATAATAATGATAATGATAATAATAATAATAATAATAATAATAATAATAATAATAATAATAATAATAATAATAATAATAATAAAAAGTTGTGTCCTTGAATTCGATACAAGATGGAGAGAATTTGTGATAATGGACTTGCAGCAATGTTAACTGAAATCCCTCTGATTGTCATTACTTCTTGCTTGTTAATGAATGGTGTTGTGACGCAATGACAGGTGTTTGGTTTTCATGTATACTAGAAAAAATATTGCAAGTTGCATATTTTAAATTTGTTCATTCTCAATGGGCAAATTTAAAGTCAAGAATAAAGAGGGGTGATATGCTAGAAGAAGACACCACAGGAATCACGGCTGGAAATTATGGAATTTCCGATCACCTGAAAGTGATCTTAAATTAAGTCAAAAGCTTTGTTTCGATCACTTTTGGTATTCGGAAAAACCTTTGTTGTTATTTCTGACAACTTTTTGCTTTCGACTCTATTTAAGATCACTTTCAGGTGGTCGAAAATTTCATAATTTCCAACCGTGAACGGATAATTTGATTTGTACCTTTTTTATATTTAAAAATAAGTAAATTTCTTTTTAATTCTAAGTGAGGCCCACCAATACACATCCCAATCGTTACAATCATTATTACATGGACCATGGTCCATATAATTGTGTGGACCATAAACAAAAAATATATTTTTAATATACTGATGATACATTATTTATGTACGTAAGGTACATTTTTTGAAAGTACATTTTTAATATACTGAGAATACATTATTTTATATAATGTACCTTCAGTACAAAAATAATGTACTTTAATATATTAAAAATTTACATGATATTCATGGTCCACACAATAATTTGCCCAATCCTTATATCGCGGACCAGGGTCTACAGTGCACTGTAGACCCTGGTCCAATACACATAATTTGATTTTATAATACACAAAATTTATGTTCATGATTTATAATCTTTGATGGTCAACTTTGAATGTTTTGTATTTAGTCGGGTTAATTATTTGACCAAAGTTTATATTAAATTTTATATTGTATTTATTTTTTTAATACTCTGTATATTTTAACATATTCGTAATATATTTAATAATTATGCCAACTCTGATTGGGATGTGGTTCGAACCTAAGACCTTTCTTTTAGAAACTAATAAGTTAAGAATAATAAATAGTTAACGAAATATTCCGTTACTAAAATTTATACTAGCGGAATCCAGGATTATTTAAGGGAAGACAATAATATAATAGAGGGTAAATAAGGAAAATCATAAAAAAAAATACTAAAATTAAAATAATATGAACCATTCATTTCAAAAACAATTACACCCACATTTTTTTGTTCCAGTTAAGGGCCTAACATGAAACAATTACAGCGACATTTTTTTGTTCTAGTTAAGGGCCTAATATTATTGGCTCTTATTAGATTTGTAGATATACATTGTAGTTTCATTTCAGCACATTAAAGTATCATTTTGTTCAAACAACAGTTTCATTTGAAATTATACACTCAATATGTGAGACATGTTATTGAATTCCATTTTATACCCACTGCAGTTTTATTACAATACAACTAAAGTGTAATTCTAATTCAACTATGGTTTCATTGGACAATATACACTCAAATATTTGAAACTGTTATTCAGTTTCATATTATATACACTGTAGTTTCATTAAAACACAATTAAAATATCATTTTGGTATAACTACAGTTTCAAAATGTGAGACTTAGCTTGTTATTCAGTTTCACTTTATACACATTATAGTTTCATTTCAGTAACACTAAAATATCATTTTAATTCAACTGTACTTTTATTTGACAATATACATTCAATATGTCAGACATGTTATTTAGTTTCATTTTGTACATACTATAGTTTCATTTCAGCACACAACTAAAATATCATTTCGATTCAACTACAGTTTCATTTGATAATATACACTCAATATGAATGTATCAACCTCGGAAGAAGTTCATACAAGATTAAAAGAGTTGTTAGAAACATTCCAAGTTCTCTAACAACTATGAGTCTATAATAGAGACAAAATTATGATAAATAACAAAGAGACTTTTTGGACTAAAGGCTTCTTGTCACTTGTATTGTGTTAATTGTGGCACCCCGTAAATCTAACCCTTAATTGAGATTAATTGAGGAATTAATATTAATTTTCCTTTGATAATTTTCTTCTAAAAATCCTGAAATTTAATAGTCGAGAGACTAGAATTTGACTAGTTTCCTTAGTCAATCATGTGTACCTTTTGCCTTATGCTTTGTACCACAACCTTTTGTCTTCCTAGCTTTAGTAAGGGTAAAGTTGACCTTTCACACATGTTTTGATGCTCAAGTTTTTCCTATCAAGACACTTCACTCATTTCCCTTACTAGCCAAATCATAAACACTCCACCTTCTCTCTAAAGAAATCTTGGCTTGCTCTTCAAGCTAAAAGAAGAACCATCTATCCTTGCAAAGTTTCATCCAAAGATTCCACCTTTCTACCTCCCTAGCATAGGAAAGGGTAAGATCTAAAGTTATTTAGTGTTTTTAGTTAGCTTTAAGGTATCTTTATCTTATTTTGGTGTTTCTTTGTGGTTTGGTTGTGTAAGAAGTCTTTGGTGAGAAAGAGCTTCAAGAAGAGGCCTAGGAGCGTAAGAAATAAGAGGTTTTTTGGTCTTCAAAGGTAACCCATGCTATACAAAACCTATTTTCTATTGCTATGAATGATTATTGACTTCTATTTGATGATTCTTAATGTATTTGTGAGATTGGATGCATGATCTTGTGATAATGCATGTTTAGAGCTTGTATTTAGGGTTCTTGAATGCCTTTCTTTGAGCTATTCTTGGGTTCAAGTCATATCTTTGTTGTGTGTGAGGTTTTGGGTGTTTTGGACTTGGACTTGACCTTGGAGATGAATTTCCCCGAAGGGAAAATGTTGTACAGGGATGTACCCCGCGGGCGGAACGACGGGCAGTGGCCTGGCCGCCGCCCCACCCGCGGGGAACGCAGCCTCGTGGGGTGGTACCCCGCGGGCAGGACCACGGGTGGTGGTCTACCCGTGGCCCCATCCGAGGGGAACGTGTATGGTGTTGCGGGGAATTGTTTCCCCGTGGTTCTTTCCTTTTGCTATTTGATGTTTTGACCTCCCGCTGTTGGATTATTGAGCTTTTGTGAGTCTTCTTGATGTTTCGTATGTCTAGAACGATGTATTAAGTATCCTTGTTAGGATTTGGTGTCTTGAATCGTGCTTGTGGTCCAATCTTGTGATTTGTTGGGCTAATATGAGTCTTGAAGGTTCGTTGGAACCATTTTGGTTTACCCGTTTGATGTGCATGCTAGTTTTGATGTCGTTATGCTAGTATGTATGGTTTCTTCCTTCTTGCTGAGGATTGGCAACTCGTATTGCCAATCATATTAGTATTGGATTGTAGTCCATTGTTTTTGAGTATTACTTCATGTCTTTATTGAAATCTCTTGGTTGATTCTTACGGTGTGATCTTGTACAAATCGTTATACCCTTTGTTGATACTTGATTGGGCTATTGATGAACCTTAATCTTCTTGATGATGGCTATGTGTGAATATGATTGAGATTGGTGGTTTTGTTACTTGAGCTTTGCGCACGAGATCGGTGGTATGTTACTATGAATTTAATGGTACCCTCGTGTACTGAGAAATCGGTGGTATAATGATTGGTGGTGCGATTGGTGGGCGACGACGGTCCCAGGAGGGAGAAGGTTGGACTCGGTGTACAGGGTGGCACTCGGAGGTACAGGTTGGAACTGTGATAAGGCCGGGGGTATCCATAAGGGTGGTACTAAGGTATAAGGTTGGACTCGAAACGTGAAACTTGAATGTGAACTTGTTATGATATGAGTGTTGTATTTCCTG